AGGATGAAGGCCACCCTCCTAGGGTTTATTGGCCTGTACCCCATTCCTCGTCTACCGTGAAAAGGAACGATCCGTCCTTTTCCAGTGTCTTTCTGTAACGCTTGGTTATACGTTGTCCTGCAGTTTGACAGCCGCTCATGCCCTTTGGAGGTGGGGATATGGAAAGAGCAGTGTCTGTGTTTGTCAGGCAAGGACTGTGGTGTTTATTCATACATTTACTTGGGGTGGGAAGGCCTTCAAGTTTTGTTGGGGTGTGGAGTGCAACTGTTGGACTTAGTTGTTATGCTTGGGACTTCAGTGTCAAGAACAGACTTTGTCCACCCTAGAAAATTTCTGAGACAGTGTGCACGGGTGGAAGTGATGATTTTATCTCTGGAGCCTTTCTGTCTGTGAAAAGCAGCCTGTCCTGGTACAGCACAGGACACTGCAAGTCAAATATGCTGGTTAAAATTGAAAGGATTGTCAGCCGATCGGAAACGTCCCTTAACGGAAAGGCAGACCTTGAGGATTTTTGGGGAAGTGAAGAGCTCCACACGCATCCAGTCCTAGCACTTGGGTGTGGCTCAGACTTTTGGGAATGGCAGGTAAATGGACATGTTGTTGGTCTCATCCCTGCATCAGTAGGGCAGGCAAAACGAACTTCTGTTAGCTGTCTGCAAGGAACTGTCTATGCCTTGCCTGTGAACAGACTTTTACATTTGTGAGCATTAGATTCAGGTGAAACATTTTCTCAGACCACTCTCTCCCTCTTTCTGCAGCACTTAAGGTGCTAAAATCTGATTTTTTCTGTTCTTAGTTTTGCCAGGATCTGAGGATGAGTTTTCAGGGAAAGCGTACTGCCTTACCTGGTTGTATTTCTTCATGTTTTCTTTAGAGCCATAGTCATAAGCTTGAAATTGGTCTGCATGTGCTATCTGTTAAAAGAACAGAAAAAATATAAGTTTTTTTAGGAATGCAGGAGATGTTTTCTTGCCTGTGATTGAAGCCAAGGCTCAGGCAGTGGACTGTGAGTTACTCCCACCTCTTCCTCTGGTGGAAGGCTTCCAGGAATACTGAGGATGGATTGCAGGGTGAGTGGCTTCATCAGCTTTCCTCTTGCTAACTTTCTCTCCTGATCCTCAGCCGTCAACCTTGGTATGTTTTGTTGTTAAAATTTTGCTTGACTACTTTAGTTAGCTAAAGTTGGGGTCCCTTGTTCGTGATGCAGAGTTGAGTTCACTTGTCACGTGGAAAGAAGATTTGTATGTCTAGAACGTGTCAGGGCTATTAGTAGTCTACTGTAATATAAAATCTCTCCTTACATGTCTTGTGTTTTGCATGTGAGTTTTGTCTGGTCTGCTCGCAGTAGTGGCAACATTTCCACAGGCTTTGTACTTACAAGACTTTGGCTATGCATGAGTTGTGCTCTGACAGCAGTTTTGAGGTGGGACTTTAGACTCAAGAAATCAGCCTTCCTGAGTCTGTGTTGTCTAAAAGACGTGATATATGCCCTGCAGGACTGATGAGTGATGAGTTCAGTACACATGTGTTTGGGGTTGTTTGTTTGGGGAGAGGGGGTTGTAATTTAATTTTTATTTTATTTTTTGGACAAGCCTAACAAGTAACATCATTTGTGAGTGGCTGTATGTAATACAGGGTGAGAGAAAGCCACTGTCTGTCAGTTTAGAAAACCTTGACTTCAAGTAGCTGTGGATATGCTAGAAATCTTGCTGTATTGTATTTGCTGTTTTATTCTATGCTGCTGCATCTATATTTGCTTTGTAGCCACCTGACTTTGTTAGAGGCTGGCAAAATAGGCTTTGAAGCCACTGGCTGTCAGTGGTTTCTCCCCATTTCCTGGCTCTGGGTAAGTATATCCTGTGGGACTGACTGCTGGGAATTTTTGTCAGGGGTGTCCTCAGCAGCACACCTATATTCTAGACCACATCAAGTGTTTGCAGAAGCGGGGTGTCTGCTATAGGATATATGCAGATACATCCTGGCTCAGCAGGTACACCCGGACACACTCAGTGATGTGTTTCTTGGCTGGAGCTGTCTTCCCCTGGTCAGAATCAGACGACTAGCAGAACAAGCTCAGATCTGCCAGTGCATAAGTAGAAACTCACCTTTAGAGAACTGGAATTTGGGATCTGGATGTGGCAAGTGTGACTAAAAGGGTTTTGGAAAAAACTGGCTGTTGGGAAAATCCCCGCAGAGCAGTGTTGCTTGACATGCACTGTAGTAGTATAAAGCAGTTCCCCACTTTGCCGTTGTGCCAGCAGAAGAGTTTATGTGGTTAACCGGCTTTGGGAAGTGATCCAGGCAGCTATTAACCCTCTGGGAGAACAGTTTTACCCTGGATCACTTCTCTGTCTGCGTCATACCCTGGCTGCTCAAGTTTCCACTATCCTCCTCCTGCCTGCCAAGCGCCTAGACTGTGCTTGTGTTCACTTCTGCAGCTTTCAAGGCAAATGTCTTCACAAATAAAGACAAAGGCTGGAAGGCATTAGAGCCCAACATGCAGCAAGGCCTGATGTGCCCTGGGGAAACCTCAGTGACTGACACTACAGAGGCTATTCAGGTAATGGTCTGGTGAGCCGTGGGACACAGTGCTCCCTCTGTGGCAGGTGCTCATGGCAGCTCATGAGATGTGATAGGCAGTTTCCCAGATCCGCTGGCTGCCTCTGGACATCCCTGGAGGCTGTCACTTGCATAAAAAGCAGTAGTAGGAGTCTGTTTATACATTAGCACGTGGTTATACCTGTTGCCAATGAATAATGTTCTGTACTGATGTTCCAGCAGGGGAATGTCCTACATAGGTATCTATTCGACTCTGGAGAGAAAACAGAAGTGTTACAAAGGCAAGGAACCAGTGTGGTGACAGAATAAAGCTGTGAAGAACCCAGGCAACATCATGTTGCTCTGCTAAACCCCCATTTTGATAGGATATTCTTCAAATATCAGAAAGCAAACTGAGAAGCAGACTTATGAGTAGCTGGTTAATAGTATGCCTCTTCACGCTTTCTCCATGAAAACGAGTCTGTTCCATGAAGACAGTACTACTGTGGGGTCCTCTGGTACAGCAACAGTAGGGAAAAACCTTCCAGTCCTTTCAAAGTAGATTCCTCACCTCACACCAAACCCCCATGCATGTATAAGCCTTTTGAAGATTTGTTTTTCTCTTCACTTTACTCCTACTGCTAGAAGAGACAGCTTACAAAACAGATTGCTTTTTCTTCTGTTTGCATTTTTACAGTTCCTTTAAGATGTTCCAGTTCTGTCTCCCCAGATTCCTCCTCTGACTTGTTATCTTGCCCTGAGAACCCCATTAATGACTTCACACAAGTCATGGAAGATCCTTAAAGGTTTAGCTCTGCTATTCAAAAGAGCTGCAAAGCCCTTAATTGCTTTCGTACTGAGCCTTTGATTCTCACTGCTTTCCTGTATGTGCTTTTCCAGGTGGTTATGGATGGAGAAATATGGAGGTTATGGATGTCTTTAAGACAGTGCAGTAATAAACGTTTCCCAGGCCAGGTTCTGAATACTTTGGCCATTGTAAAAGGGGTTTAAGACACACTACAGTGCCCATATGTTGGCAAGTGTGGGGACAACTCTCCTGTCCTGTCCCCCCTGACTGATGCACTAGTCTAGTTGCACTTCTCAGGCACAGTGCAAGGACTTTCTGTAGCTCTGCATGTTGTGGATTGAGCTGTTGGGTCCAGTTCTAAGGACCACAAAAATGTGAAAATGCCCCTTAAAGTAGTTCTTTGGGACCAAGTTCTGGTGCAAGTAGTCTGAAAAGTAGGAAGAAGAAGGAGCTTTTTTCTGTCTTTTAATTATTCCAGTGTTCAAAGGATCCTGGTGTCAGCACGCTAAGGAAGGAAAGTGGGAACTGTATTACCAAGAAGAAGTCTGACTCCATCACCCATTGGCTCTTATTAAAGAGCATCTGTGCGTGACCAAAATCTGGCTGGCTTAGTCCCAAAAGAGGGTACATCTATTGACAAGTGCAATATAGCTCCAGACTGAACTCAGTCCTTTCTTTGTAGGATTGGAATGTGCCCAGCTGTTGGTCCCATCCATCACTAGCTCTAAACCTGTTTGGCACTGTTTGCACCACACGATGTCCTGGCATTCCCTCAGTCTGCCAAGAACTACGTTGTGGTTTATGTACATTTACATGCATGACAGTTACTAGATAAGGACAGAGTGCACATATCTAACTTCCAAAATCACTCTACTTTGAGTAGGTGTTCTTGCCTATACTTACCGTGTTCAGATTTTTTATGTTACCTCCAGCTATGTAACAGAGTACGTGGCCGCAAAACTTATCCAGGGTTGTACATAACTGTGTCACAGGTCCTTTCAGAAATCCAATCTGGTGTGCAGCTCCTTTGCAGCCAAGTACTAACTGAGGGAAGGGAAAAGCGCAACACTTTTTTTTTCTTGTTATAGGAGCGTTTCATGTAGGAAACTATTGTTAGTAACCTAGCTTCCTAACTCAGTATTCAAAGAATGCTGAAACAGCTTGCCCTCCCAGTGCCCCTTAAAACACCTTCTTTCCCATAGTGCATTACATATCCATCTTCCTGCGTATCACTGGCATCAGTTCTGGAGGAAGCCATCCTTGCATTTCAAGCGTACTGACCTCAATGTTCACTCATTTCTGAAGTCCCAGAGATTGTCATGGCGGTTATTGCAGCTCTGGTTTAGTTCCTCCTGCACGAGGCCAGCAAAATATTAGCTGACAGCAAGAGTCCTATGACGAGACAGGGTTTCACAAGTCTCCTACTTCACTGGGACCTACTGCTACAAGCCCTATATCTCCAGTATTTTCCCCACAGAGTTTAGGAACAGATTTTTCAAGAGCACTGAATTCATCCCAAGCTCAGGATCAGCATATCACCTGTTTGGGAACACTTCGTGTCAGGTTCAGTGAACCCTGTGAAGGTACAACAGACATCAGGCCTCTCAGAAGGATAAATTACATACCCTGAGTAGCGGTTCAGGAAGATTTGTAATCTTAAGAAGAGGACTTGTAGCATGTGAGCATGTGGTTACTGGGCCCAGAGCAGAGAACAGCTTCACCCGTTTAGCTAGCTCAGGGTATGTAGAAAATGCTATGAAGCCTGTAAACACAGAACAGATAGCCAGAATTAGTGAAGACAAATTCCACAGACAAAATAAATAAATAAGAATAGGTAGCAAACAAGAAGTGAGACTAGATTTGCAGCCCACTATCTATTGTCTACGTTTGACTGTTGTGCATGTTTTACCTAGGGCAAATGTTGAAACTAAGTCCTGAAATTAATTTTAGTTGGGAGGCAAAGTTCATTCTGAGGTTTAAAGCATGTCTGGACATTGCCTTCATCAGAACAGTTTTTGTAAGTGACATGTCAATGAGGTTTTCATAATAAAATCAATTCTCTATAAAGTTCATAGAACTCTCATAAAAAAGAGGTTCATTCTTTAGGTTACAGTCTCTGAAGGTCTATGTATGTTTATGCTTCCATGAAACTGTAGAATAATTAGCTGGTTACTGGGAGCTTTCATTGTTTGCAGCACAGGCAGCTGAAGAAAGCCTAGATCGTTAGTTTATTTTGCCATGAGGGTCTTAAAATACTCTTATGAGGGGAAAAGAAAGAAAAGGTCTGGAGCTGTGACAATACATGATTTTCCCACATTTCCTTCTCTTTTTTTTGAGTGGTTTAATGTACTGGCAGTTGCTCATTTCTAATTAATATCCATTCATTGATCTTACACATAAACCACAACAACCAGAAGCTTTCAGCGGATGCTAAAGGAAAGTTAGTTGCATTCAAAGGCTGTGAAGTTAATGCTAAAGCCTAACGCTACGAAAAAAAAGTTATTAATATTTTTTTCTTTCCAAATTTTCAGTCTCTGGCAATACGTATACAAACAGTAATGTGGCCAGGTATAACCACTCATGAATTCTGCTTTGAATTGTCAGATTGTCACTAAGTCACATGACTTAGTAATGTTGAGGTTCTTTTTCCTTGTCTTCTGTTATTTGAAATTATCTATTATATAAGCTGATTTATCTTTTTAGTTTTTCCTTCCAGCTCACAAGGAAAATAATTGTATGTCTTAATACAAAGGATAGACTACATGAAAATT